CCTCTGTCTTCTGCACACCTATTCATCTCCGCCCCCTGCCTTTTATCCCCAGAGCTAGGGTGGGGCTTCGCTAGCAGCATCGGCTCTTCCATCCCAAGGACCGGCCCATAGATTTCCATTCCTCTCCTCTCCCCTCTGTCTTCTGCACGCCTATTTTCGAGTTGTAAGCCGCCCTGAGTCCCCCCAGGGAAAAGGGCGGCATATAAATAAACTTCTCAAATCTCATCTCTGCCCCCTGCCTTTTATCCCCAGAGCTAGGGTGGGGCTCTGCTAACAGCATTGGCTCTTCCATCCCGAGGAGCAGCCCATAGATTTCCACTGCTCTCCTCTCCTCTGCCTTCTGTGAATCTGGCGCCCCAGGCACTTGTCCTAGCTGTTCCTCTTCCTCATCAGCCACCGCCAGACCTGGGGGCTGTTGTCTCTCCATTTGAGGGCTGACAGATTGCCCAGGCTCTACCTCTGTCTCTCTCTCTCTCTGCCAGCTGAATTCCCTCTTCCCCCTCGGAGCTCTCAGGTTGCCTTGATGCTGACCCTGACTCTCACATCGCCTCCTCATCCCCTGATTTGGCTGCTGGAGTGGCCAGCAGCTGATAAGCCACAACAGAAGAGCAACAAAGATGATTAGGGGGTCTGGAGGCTGAAACATACAATGAATGATTGTGGGAACTGGGAATATCTAATTAGTTTAATGAAGAGAAGGACCAGGGGGGTGAAATGATAGTCTTCCAATTTTTGAGGAGCTGTCACAGAGAAGAGGGGGGTCAACTTATTATGTAAAGCACCCGAAGGCAGGACAAGAAACAATGGATGGAAACTCATCAAGGAGAGAAGCAATTCTTTTGTAAGGAGAAATTCCCTGACAGAACAATTAATAGCTTGCCTCCAGAATTGTTGTGAATGCTCCAACACTGGAGGTTTTTAAGAAGAGATTGGACAACCATTTGTCTGATATGATTTCCTGCTTGAGAAGGGGTTGGACTAGAAGACCTCCAAGGACCCTTCCAACTTTGTTATTTGGTTATTCTGTTAGAAAATGCTTTTTTCTGAATTTGATGTGTCTGGAAATAAGACTGGACTCAGGCATGAGACAAGGTGGGCTCTTTTAACCTCAGGAAAAAAACACCACCAACGGTTGGAAGAACTACAATAGGATTAATTTGTGTATAGAAGTATACCCAATTAAGTATGACTTTTCTGACTGTAGTTTACCATTCGTAGAGCCCCGACTTATTTCAAAACGTAGAGATATTTTTCAAAAAAAATTGTAGATGGTGGGAACTGTCTTTGAAACAGTATTTTCATTTTAATTCTTGACTATTAGGCAGGAGAAAACTGAATATGCTGACAGGGAGTACAGAAAGTCAATGTTCCCTCTAAGCTGTGCAGCTGCGCTGCCACGCACGTTACAGGAAAACGCCGCGCAGCAGTTTCCAACTGCCGCGCAGTGTTTTTTTTAATGTCTTAAAATATGACTTAAAATATTCCCCCTCCCTCCCTCCTCTCTCTGCACCGAACTCTCTCCTCCAGCGGGTGAAGTCAAGGAAGACTCTGCCCGGAGACCGATGACACTGCAGAAGAGAGAATTCCCATTGGTCCTCTGGGGCTTCGTCGGTCCCTGGGAAAACGTGATTCGCTCTTTGTAGCCTACATTTCTCTGCACATCCCGCGTTTCTCAGGCATTGCGTCGTCTGAAGCCCCGTTCTGGGCTCGGCACCCTTTCTGTGATCCCTTCGCTTTGTGGAGAGAGGGAACCAGCGTGGAGTTGGACTGTCTGAGCCAAAGGGATCCACGGGATCCTAAGACTTGATTTTTGAGCAGTACCAATCCATTCCACTCTTTCCTTTCCCTTTCTGTCCTTCTTCTATCTTCCTTTTCTTTTTCCTTTCCTTTCTCTTTTCCTTTCCTTTCTCCTTTCCTTTCCTTATTTCCCTTCCCTTCCTTTTTTTCTTTTCCCTTCCCTTCCCTTTCCCTCCCTTCTTCATGCTTTCCTTTCTTCTTTCCCATTTCCTTTCCTTTTTCCTTTCCTTCTTTTCCATTTCCTTTCCTTTTTTCTTTTCTTTCCCTTTTCCTTTCCTTTCTCTTTTCCTTTCCTTTCTCCTTTCTTTCTCTTTTCTTTTCCTTTCCCTTTTCCTTTCCTTTTTCCTTTTCTTATTCCCTTTCCCTTCTTTTTTCTTTTCCCTTCCCTTTCCCTTCCTTCTTCATTCTTTCCTTTCTTCTTTCCCATTTCCGTTCCTTTTTCGTTTCCTTCTTTTCCATTTCCTTTCCTTTCTCTTTTCCTTTCCTTTCTCTTTTCCTTTCCTTTCCTTATTTCCTTTTCCCTTCTTTTTTCTTTTCCCTTCCCTTTCCCTCCCTTCTTCATCCTTTCCTTTTCTTCTTTCCCATTTCCTTCCCTTTCCCTCCTTCCCTTCCTTCCTTCCTTCCTGGGGATCTGAGGGAGATGGAGGGGGCCCTTTTCCTCATTACCCCCCTCCCCAACATCTGCTCTGATGGCAATTATGGCTAAAAAAAAATTCAGGTGCTAAGACATGAAAATGTGCTGCTCAAACACTATACTTTTCTGCACACACTGAAAAAAAATTAGAGGGAACATTGCAGGTAGTCCTCGACTTACAGCCACAATTGGGCCCAACATTTCTGTTGCTTCCTGAGAAAGTTGTTAAATGAGTTTTACCCCATTTTATAGCCTTCGTTGTCACAGTTGTTAAGTAAATCGTTGCAGTTAAGTTAGTCACATGGTTGTTAAGTGAATCTGGCTTCCCCATTGACTTTGCTTGTCAGAAGGTCGCAAAAGAGGATCACGTGACCCTGGGATTCTGCAACTGTCATAAATATGAGTCAATTGCCAGGTACCCAAATTTTGATCTTGTACCATGGGGATGTTGCAACAGTCGTAACTGAGAGGACTGTTTGTAAGGCTCTTTTTTCACTGCCGTTGTAACTTTGAATGGTCACTAAACAAATGGTTGTAAGTCAAGGACTACCAGTATGTAGAATACCTTAGAAAACAACAGTTGTTTCGCACGTTAAGGGTGTTGCAAATATTTTGACCTTTTCTTTCATTAGCTTTCAAAGTGTGGATTGGAGCAAAATTGAGTTTGCTGGACAGAGAATAATTTGCTGTTTAATTGGAAGATACTGATTACTTTATCTTTGACTGACCCACTTCTTCTTTCTTTTCCCCTGCTTTCAAGATCAATTTTTTGCTTTTTGTCGGCATCATCATTATCTTGGTTCAGAAACTCCAGTCTCCAGACATCGGGGGCAATGAATCCAGCATCTACTTGTAAGTATACCAAAAAAACGTTCAAAACACCATGATTTTGACGTGTGAGATACCTATAGAAAAAAATAAATGATTCAAGTATTCTTTAGAAGAGAATATTTGCAGCCTGGGGTTAAACTGGCGAGTTTTCAGTGATGTGTAAGTTTGACAATTTCCTTGCAGACATTACATGACCCAACTAGGGAACATCATCAGTGTTAGAAGGGAATAGGGATGTGGGGGGAGGAAGAGGAGGAGGAAGAGGAGGACTGTGAGGTCCTTGGTACTCTCTGAGCTGGGGGGGGGGTTTCTTGCAGACATTTCATTACCTAATTAGGTAACAACATTAGTGATACTATTTACTGATGATGTTACCTAGTTGGGTCATGAAATGTCAGAATAAGAGGAGGAGGAGGAGGAGGAGGAGGAGGAGTTGATGACCCAACTGGATAATAAAATCTGTGCTAGAAGGGAATGGGGTTTGTGGAGAAGAGACAGGGAGGAATGTATGGTCCTTGGTATTCTCTGTTGATTATTTTATTACAGACATTTCATGACCCAACTAGGTAGCATCATCAGCACTAGGAAGGGAGAGGAGAGAGCAAATCTCATTTCCTTCTAGAACTGATGGTATGATGTAGTTAGGTCATGAAACATCTGTAAGAAAACAAGCTCAGAGAGCACCAAGGACTCAGAGTTTTGTTTAGTCCATAAATAAGATCAACAGTAATTGCAAGCATCAATCATGCCTTGCATTGTTGGTTACACATCTTGCTTGAGGGAAGGAAGATTTTTCCTTTTTAATTTACATCAAACGACAGAGTTTGAAGAGAGAAGCAATTTTTTATTGAAAGAGCAGCATCTGGAATAGGAAAAATTAAGACTTCTGGCCCCAAATGGACATAGTTTTCCTTTCCTTCTTTGGTTGACAGTGGCCTTAGTGAGTTGGGTAGTCCTCAACTTATAACCATTCATTTAGTGACCGCTCGAGGTTACAATGGCACTGAAAAAAAGCGATATGATCATTTTTGACACATACGACTGTTAAAGCATTCCTGTGATCTCGCAGTCAACATCCAAACTCCTGGCAACACGTATTTATGATGTTTGCAGTGTCCTGTGATCATGTGATTTCCCCATTTGTGACCTTCTGACAAGCAAAATCAAGGGAGGAAGTGAGATTCACTTAACAATGGTATTACTAACTTACACAACCTCGGTAATTTACTTAACTGTGGCAAGAAAGGGGCAAAACTCAAGAATTGCTTCCCGTAGCTACAGAAAATTTGGGTCAATTGTGGTTGTAAGTCAAGGACTACCTGTACTTGATATCCTCAGGGTTTGCTAGTTAGGAAAGTCATGTAAGAGCCCAAAGCATCTGCGGGATGCTCCTCTATCTTTAGATGCTTCTGAAAGGAGCTTTCCAGTGGTTTATCAAATATCAGAATGAGCCCTTTCTCCTCCTCCTCCTCCTCCTCCTCC